GCCTTCCAGCACCACCTCCTCCACCAATGCCTTAGATCTCTATCTCCCTCATGCACGCTGTCCAATACTACCCAGGGTTTCTGTTTGACACTACAGGACAAAACAAAGCCCAAACACTGAAAGTTAACTCAAATTACTTTTAGTGGCAAAAGTTGATCTTTCTATTTTGGAGACAGAAAAAAAAGTGAGACCACACCTGGAATACTGTGCCCAGTTTTGGGCTCCCCAATTCAAGAGAGACAGGGACCTACTGGAGAGAGTCCAAGAGAGCTACGAGGATGATTTGAACACCTCTCCTATGAAGAGAGACTGAGAGAGCTGGGGCTGTTTAGCCTTGAAAGGAGATGGCCAAGAGGGGATCTTATTGATGTATACAAATATCTGAGGGGTGGGTGTCAAGAAGAAGGAGACAATCTCTTCTCAATGGTGCCCAGAATTAGAACAAGAAATAATGGGTTTAAGTTAGAACATAGGAAGTTCCACCTCAACATGAGCAGCAACTCCTTCCTGTGAGGGTGACAGAGCACTGGAACAGGCTGCCCAGAGAGGTTGTGGAGTCTCCTTCTCTAGAGACTTTCAAAACCCACCTGGACACGTTCCTCTGTGGCCTGTCCTAGGGGATCCTGCTCTGGCAGGGGGGGTGGACTAGATGATCTCTAGAGGTCGCTTCCAACCCCTGACATTCTATGATTCTGTGATTCTAACAGAATAGCAAAATGAAAAGTGAGTCAGTGAAACTGCCATATTCACAGACACCAAATTACTTGATATAAACTCTTTTTCACTTAGCCTGTTAAATAGTCATAAAAAAGGCAGCAAGTCACTTGAAAATGTATTACCCTTTTCTTTCCAGGTTCAGAAGCACGTGTATCATAGTCATCTGGAAGCTGTAGATAATCTTCCATCCTGCTGGCAATTGCTTCCCAGTCACGTTTCCTTTTAGTGCCAGTCCGCAAACCATCCAGCTTGTCTGAGAACAAACACAGAGCCTCAGAGTTAAAGGAGATTTTTTTTTCTATTACTCACACAAACAAGACGAGAGTGGAAAAAATTTCAAAAGAATGAGCAGCACTTGTACATCCAGCTTGTCTTGACAGACGGAATCATGAGAGTTGAAATAAACTAGAGAAGACTCAATACCATTTTCAAGTTTTATTGATGTTTCACATTAACCGTGTGCCAATAACACTCAGTCCTGTTATCTGTATGAGGGAGAAAAGCTTGCTCTTCTGGATGGTCATACTATCTGGAGTCTGTCCTTACAGGTACAATGTAGTCACCAATAGCTAGGAACCACAGATTTGCCTTTCTGTATTTGAACACAATACTAAAGCTGTAGCATTCTTCCCAAATTTGGGGTTTAATACTGTGTCAAACATGGCATACATGCAGTAGAAGGGAACAAGAGACGATCATAATTTAACGCATCGAAGACAAGTTTTTGAGATATTGTTTCTGCTAAACAAAAAGCTCCCTGGAACCCTGATCCCTCCTCCCCCATTTTCTTTTTCTCTTCCCACAAGGAATTCTGCAGGACTGGAAAAAAAAAATCTCAGAATCTTTTGCTTCATGGTGTAAGAAGTCAGTCATGAGTATTTAAGCAGTACTTTTGTCCAACAGTCATTGTTTTCTTCTTTTTCTTATTAGGCCAATAAGGCATGAGGAGAAACAATTCCATTCCTAGGTTCTAATATTTTGTTCCTCTTTGGACACTTATTTTCTGCGAAAATACAACACCTTCTCGAAAGTATGTGGCAGGCTGCTTTTGGAAAGAAGATGAAGTATTCGTTGCAAGATTACGAACAACAAAGCATGAAAATGAAAAACGGCTTTACAAGTCAAAGGAAATCCTAGTACTTCCGTTGATGCATGCTACCATATTATAAGCCAATAATTCAAGTATATGCAGAAGGAATACTAAGCTTGGCAGATATATTCTGCAAATCATTTCCAGTGACATCAATAATATTGTTTCAGAAATCACTGATGTAATTCAATTCACCCACAAAAGGCCTCAGAAATAAACCAAGTACAAAGCAACATATTTTCTGGATAGCAGAAAAGGATGTTCAAAGGTATGTAGCTAAGGAAGCTCAGTTCAGAGATGAGTTTTTTTACTCAATATGGGAGAGAAAAGAGCAACAACGGAGATAACGTGAGGCAGTGGTGATGTAGACATGCCAGTATAATTTAAAAGCCATAAACTAATGAAATAATTTCTCCCTCACACAACTCTTTTAAAGACTACATCTTTGTCCCATTTCCCTCGAACAGATACAGACTTTCTTCAAAGAAAATATTTTAATCCCCATCTGCCTTTTAAAAACTCCATCACTAAAGAAAACTGTGCAGCATATTTGTGTCTGTTAACTCAATTGTGTAACAAGAAATCATGTAAGGTTCTCCTTTTGCTTTAAGTTAAATCTGCCAAATTTGAAGCTCCATCTCCACAGAAAGACGGCACTCCCTCTAGAAGACAAAATTGGTTTATAAAATATTCCTCTGTTACTCCATCACAGAACATACTTGTACTATTCCTTAGTATTACTCTCAGATCAATCAGTGTACATCAGTGTAACATAAGGGTTTCCAGAAAAAAACCACATCCAACAGGGAAGCAACAAATGCATTGAGGAGCATTTAGGAGCAGGAAGAACTCTAAATTCAGAAGCTGTCAGTAAGTATCCGTGCACAGACATATTCCTGTTGGAAGGCAACATGCTACCATGCAAGCTCATCTCGTTGGCAATATGGAAGAAACGGTTCAGTTTCCCATTCCCTCACTTGAAAACATCACCAAGAAACGTGTAACTCTCAAATGTCAATGGAGGAGTTCAGGAGGTTTTTGGAGTACGAGGTTCCCCTCTGTCCCTTTTTGTTACTGCTACACAGAATTTATTTTAAAATGTTATCTCCTTCCACGTTTGAAGTTGGATTGCCTTTCTGGAGGGATCTGCTTCCATCCATCCTATTATGGTTCAAGGCACATGTGCCATGCAGTAGTCACGCTACAGAAATGTCAAAAGCCTACCACAAAGCATTATTTCAGAATATTCTCTTCTGAAAATGAGGTAAGTTGCAATTTTGTAACAACAGTGCTTGGGAATATTTATGGTAGATTATTATTTAATGTTAAACTATCAAACATCATTTTACCATTGAAACTTTAAAAAGAACAAAGGCAGCAGCATTTCTGAAAACCCACAGAACTGAAAAACTCACCTTTAGAATTGTAATAAAGCATGTGAAAGAAATTGACTTAATTAGCTCCTTCAAAAACTAATCGATCAGCTAAATTTTTGCCCTTCTTATACAAAAGCCACAAAGTCTTATGTGTAAAACATTGTGTAAAAACATAATGTAAAAGAAACATAACGTTAAACATTATTTGCACTCCAGAGCAAATTTTATATTGGTGTCAAAACTTCAGCTATGCCAGAGCTCATTTCTCCTTTCCTGAAAGTTTGTAGAACTCACCACTAAGCCGCACTTCGAAACAGAGTATTGGGCTAAATGCTTCAAACACAGCCAAATATCAAAAATGTAAGTCCATTTCTGTAAATTTAAATGCAAGAACCCAAGCGCACTATGCACCGAGACAAACCAGTGATTAGACTTTAGAATAAAAACGTGGCAATGCACTCATGACACGTAAGGGAATGATACCACACACATACTCAGAAGAATGCACCACCCTTGCCAAAGTAAATCTGAACGAAAGCAAGAGCTCTGGGGCACAAGAGCTCTGTCCCACATCAGTGTTTTACAGCTAAAGAACGCAAATTTTCAGACCTTTTCTGAGGCTTATTACAAGCAGTAAGATCTTATTGTGCTTTCCTGTAACAACCTCTACTGAAAAAGAAAACAAAAAAAAGCAAAACAGGACTTACAGTGTTGGGTTTAGACTCTGCAAATCTATTACTTCTGCAAACGTGTGCCCTCTGGGACTAACACAATAAATGTGATGGGGAGGCCAGCCCCCAGGAAATAACTTTGGAATAACAAATGCATACCACAGTTCACATGCCTTTCAGGAATTAATTTTAACTGGTGATCTACAACGAAGTCTTACTGTGAATGAATTATAATAATTCTTACTCACAGACTGCGAGTGCTTATAACACATGCCTTGAGCTAAAAGTTGACTGCCCTTGCAAAGCAATTTTTCAAAGAAACATAATTCATTACATAGGAATGTCTGGCTTTTTAAAAATACATGTTCTGTCTGAAATTATTCCTAATCTACGATTCTATACATTTATAAAAATGAGTCTAGAGGGTAGTTATAAAAGTAAAATCATGAGTACAGATTCAATAGAAAGACTTTCTCAGCACCTGTATCTGTGTCTTGCAGCATGCTAACATCCAGTTTGTTAATGGAGTTTGATTGTTAAAGGGTTATTGCAACAGCCCTGCAACCAACTTCAGCATAAAATTGACTCTGCTGCTCTCTCCTCATTTCACATATAAGTGAAGACCATATAAAAATCCTGTGGTTTATATTACAGAGTTTTCATATGGAAAGAAACAAAACACTCTTCCTTGCTTCTGTTTGTTAGCAGTACTTAATCCTGAGAGAGGTAAATTTTAAAAGCTCTTTGTAAATTTGTGCTGCAGTCACAATCTCCATATTGCTAGAAACTACACATAAATAATTTTAGAACACACTTTGGACTCCTGTGGTATCTGTAAAACGCATGGGATGACTTAAGGTTCACAGTACGCAGTGCAAAGCATCTGCTCCTACTGCTGAGTATTTAAAGAAGTCTATGTTCTTCTGAATACAACACAATGTATCAGAACATTGTTCAACTGTGCAGTTTTCCAGTACTATGATTTCATGCGTAATTGGAAAAGAAAATCATAAAGCTAAGAAATAGTCTCAAGATATGGAATGAATCAACTCTTAACAAAATTGCAGAGCAATCCTGAATTAATTCTAACTGCCTTGCTGTTTGATACGCCAGAATCAATGAGTACAAGGATCCTCTTGTTGTACTGCAGGTGCCACAATGTCAATACATTCCACAAATATTTAAATGACTTTAAAAGAGCACGGCAGCAGAATAGATGAGCAGCTAGTCAATTAACAGCGAAAGATGAAGGGCTGCTTTATGTATGCCAGAACTTCTAACGATATGTGTATGGTGCAATTGTGATTTTGGTTACTGGAAAGTAATGACATACAGGGCTGTACCACACATGCAGAAGCAAACCTCAAAGTATTAAGACATGCTGTGTTCCATTCAGGTATTTGTTATTTCTCACAGATATGACATAAACCAGTAGTTTAATGCAGATTGCATTGATAAAATCTTCACTTAGAATGACTACTGTTCAGTAAAAAAATCACCGCAAACCAATCATCACGACTAGAACCCCCTTTCTAAGTGTGCACCTTCCACCATAGCTGTGGTGCATGCAGCTCAGCCTGAAAGTTGCTTTGGATCTTGACAGAATCTTAATATTTGCGCTTATATTTCACACAACTGGCAGTACTAATCAGAACTAAGAAGTGCAGCAAAAATGCTCCAGGAAAGTCCGTTTTGCATCCTACTAAAGAAGAATTCTAGTAGTGTCCTGGAACCGAAAATTTTAACTTTTCAACACCTGAGCTGTTGAGAAGATACACTGAGGTCTAATCGTTCAGAATCAACTTCAAAGCATGGCACTACTTTGTCCCCACACGTCTGTTTTGGAGAGCGAGAAACATCTTCAATACAGTTAGCAACTAGGCATGTCGCCAAGAAAGTAAGAAGATACTGATGACATTTAGGCTTGAAATAAAGGTGTGCAGTATGAACAAGAATGCAGTGCAATGTAAGTTGACTCTTTGCTTTTTATAACACAGAAGAGATTAATAAAGAATAGAAATACTGGGGTTTTTTTAAATTTTAAGATAACTTTTCTCAACCAGATGGAAGAACCATTAATGAGTATATAAAACAGCAACGCCAGCAACTCGTTACTCCCTTGCCTCTGGTAGAAGACAAACTTCTGTGTAGATGCCTTTGCAGTCTCAGACGTGTATGAGAGCAACACATTTATTTGTCTTTGATAAGGAGGCACAGTAAAAATGGAAAATCAAGTTTTGCAAACATCATCAGATACCAACTATAAGAAACAGGAAAAAATTAATACCCACCTAGCTTTGCCTCAGAAGTGTCCATCTCCCATTTGCTTTTCGGAATGTAACCCTAAATCATACACAGAGAGAAGCTCGGAGGATTAGAGAGAGACACACATGCATATCACTTTTGAACTGGAAACAGCATTACAATGGGAGCTTAAGGTATTTCTTTTTATTAAGGCACAATTCTTGCTATCAGGTGAAGGAAACAAATTACTCGATATTTCAGAACTTCAGTGTCCACTTCCCAACCAGTGATTTTAGCAGCCCTTGCAAATCACTACAAGGGTGCTGCTCTCTGCAAGCACAGAACTCCAGGCTGAGTTTAACAGACAGCAGTGACGCTGTGTGCACAATTACCACATTGTCTTATCCCAGGTGGCAAAGTTATTGCAACACAACTTATCAGGTATGAAGAATATTCAAAGCTTTACAAACATAAACGAAAAAGGTACCAGAGTCACAGGCTTTTAAGAGTATATTCCCACATTACAACACGTAAGTTCATCCCATCCTTTCAAAAGGACACAAATTCTTGTATGATTGGTTAGTCCACAACTAAACAGAATTCTGCTTTTGTTGAAATGTGAGTGTCTGCTGAATCACTAAGATTTTTATTCCTCACTAAATTGTTGTCCTTATTTTCAAATAACCCTCTTAGGTCAATGATTCTTTTTAAACACATTTTCCCTACAATTAATGTCATCATGTTTTACATGTAATGCTCTTTAGACAGTTTATTCCTTGTAAATAAGCATAGTGATGTCAAATTTAGCAGAAAGGTATTTATTTTAGATATCTTCCTGTTATCTTTTTATTTATACTCTTGACAAGTAAATCCTTATCAAGCAACCCCTTATAACCCATTTCAGCTGTTTAGATTTAGTATAAAACTATTTACGTTTCTCTGCAAGCACAAAAGAAGTTCAATGGAGTGAAATGCAGCCTCTGTGAGAATTGCACTACTTTAAGAATGAATTTTAATAGAGAGGGAAAAGAACTACCCTAGAAGATTTCAACCAGAGAACAAACAATCCACAGACCAGTTTTATTACACTAACTTCTTTCCTGCTCTATTTATAGGTTGCCTCCACTGTGGTAAATATATACATGTATTAGTTAATGCTAAGGGTTACTAAGAGAGCTACACTGCTTTTGATTATGTTCAGCATTGCTCTTCCAAAATCTTTGAAAGACCTTTTTTCTGTCAAGTATATATCAGTGAGTTGAGATTATGAGATCTCTGCATTTTATTGTTTTTAATCAAGTCTATAATTAACACAAACTAAGACAGTATGAGCTGCAGTACTTCCTTGAAACAAGTAAACTTGATGTATATATGCATACGTATACTTTTAAACCAAGTTTCACATGAAAATTTGCTCAGAATGTTTACACCCCAGCTGGAAGCCTGTATTGAACAAAGTGATGTGTGATATACTGGAGAGAACGCTAAGTTAAATGCATCAGTAATTCATACCATCAAGCACAGAAAAACAAGAATTGTTGATAATAGCAACAGAAGAGTGACTGATGGTGTGAAATGGCCTGCTGTGTGCTGAATCTGTACAGTATCTTGGTCCTTGGATAAGAAAAGATTCAGACTTCATCCTTTGGTATAAGACAGTTGGGTATTTCAGGGACACCTGCCAGATGGCAGGAGCTTCAGAGCTTCTTTTTTTTCCACAGGATTAAGTACAGCAAAATGAAGAACCCTTACCAACTGCTCTCAAGAAGGCAACAGATACCAAATACTTTTCCACCTTTCTGTCTGACGTATCTCTTTCTGAGATTAGCCATGTGACTGAAAGCAGAGGTCATACAGTAGGTAATTCTTTGCTAATTTTCATCTCTTGTGAATCTGAATAGAAAACATTCCTATATATAATTACTTTTAGTTGATAATAATTTGAAGAGTTTTCACCACCAAGCTTTCTCCTTGTTTCATAAGGAAAAGGCCTAGTGTTTTATGCACTGTACACGAGGACACTCCCCAGAACCCATTCGCACATACACACACACGCACATTTATGCACGGATGTCTCAATCTAAAGACAACTTTCTCTTCTAGACGTAGCTCATTTCCAAGAAATTAGACTAGCAGCCATATTCTTGTAAACATGGATGCATCTATGAAATGTTCTAACCATATTTTTGGCAGTCTCATATTCTGCACGAAGAATAATTTAGTAAAGAAAATAAATGAGTCATGTTGAAAAAACCAGACGTTTATTAAAATCCACTCTTCCTAAGCTTTATTATTTTTTAATTCTGTATTTCAACTACTTTCTAAACTGGCACTCATGAGGAACAGTAAATTTTCTTCAAGAAAAAGGACTCTGCTCATCTCAGATATTTTTTGGTTACTTCCTGTTTATATGAGTTTAACTGCTTGGTTGTGGGAACCAGGATTGACAGATTCCACTCAGCAAGCACTGACCAGTTGCAGCTCCAACATACCAAGAAGTTACATCAGGAAGCTTTCCAAAGCCTTTTAAATACATACCTAAAACCGCCAGCTCTCAGGACAATTCTCTAACCTTCATTTACCCAAAAGACCTAATCCCTCATCTTGGAAATACCTACTGACACAGTCTGCGTGCCTTGGCAGAGAAAGCATTTTTCATAATTGTTGTCATGTGCTGTGGCAGTTGAGAAGAGTTCTTTAGACACGTGAAAGGAAACAAGCTAAATTAATCTTTTCCCATTCTTCCCATCCCTCCAAATAGTGTAACTCTTAGATAACCTGGAAGACAGTGCTATAGTGAACTGCAATTTATAAATGTCTGTAAGAAGCATGTTGCCACACTCCACTGATAATGCTGTTTATGGTATATACTCACAGATTCTTAAACAAACTCAAATCTGTTAGGAATAAAACTTTTTAACGTTAAAGTTATCCTAGAAATGTTTTAGGAAAAAAATGACTAGAAATGTATGCATTGAGATCGCACTGTTAAGAACGACAATGGGTTGGCATTTATAAGACTGAGATTCTCCCTCAGACACATTAACAAACATTTTGTTAGAGATGGCTGATATGTCTCCTACCAGTTCACTTTCTTCCTCCTCTGCTGTATCCTTCTTAACTTCCTCTTTCTGGTCTTCAATATTTGCATCAAAATCCTCCATCTCCACCTGTTCCAAGGCACAAGCACAGACTTACAAGGCACTGCTTGACTTATACTTACTCTGCCAAAAAGATCATACATAGAAGATTCCAGATGGAAATAAAAGAGGAAAGAAGAGATTCATCTTGGAATGTATGCTGATGATACCTGAATACTGGCTCCATTTTGGCTTCCCTCAAAAGCAGGTTCCCTTCTAGCTGTAAAGTGACAAACTGTGTGGGAAAGTAGCAATTGTTTACTCTCTTCCTTCCCACACATTCTTTATGCTACTATCACCTGTAACACTAAGATACTTCCCTTGCTGCCACACAATCATATTTCAAAACTTGACATCTCAGAAAAAGACCTTAAGCTTGCCATCTATGCACATCACTGGAGGGGTGCCCTCTGAACATCTCTATCAAGCCTTTAACTTTTATATACTTAAATATCGCAGTGAAGAATAATAACCAAAGAGATCAGCACAATAAAGAAAACAGATATTTTAAGACATACCTCTAACCCCCTCATGTGATGGAATACTTTCTGGGGTCCACATCTCTAATGGGGATTCATGTGTATACTGTGCAATATTCCAAACTCTCCAAGCAGGTACAGTTCTTCATACCATTAGTAAAACCTTGGTGCACAGAGAGTAAATCCCAAGTATGCACCTCTGAGTCTACTTGAGAACTGAGCCTTTTGCTGTCCTCTTAAAGATTAGTATTTTATGATACAAAGAATTTGGGGATTAAGAAATAACCTGCTGACCTCATGACAAACTGCAAAGGGTAAACTCTCTTCATATCTCAAGAGTTCACCAGTTTCTACGGCTGTGGCAAGAGCTGTTTTGACAGCAACATGCAGTTTGGTACATTCGTGACGACCATACAAGTAACATACTAATTTATTCCCAGAGCTCCTGAAATATCTGCCAAAGAAGAATGCAGCATTACAGAAAGCTGACACACTGAACGCCATGGGAAACTGAAAATGGAATAAAAAGGTAGCATAATTCTTCTGCTACATGTTATTTATTTCTTCATTCTCTGCTACTCATTAGTACTTCTTAAAGCAGGGACCAAGAGGAGTTCAAAATGGTTTGCTTATTTAATTATTTAATCAAACTTTTTCCTCAAATTATGATCCAATTAATGCAGTAATTTGATTCAAGTGCCAAGTTTCATCTGGAAGAGCAAAGATCCACTCTAATCAGTACACAACGGCTGCTGAGAGCGAAGTGGCTTCAACTCTTGCTCAAAAATGTGTTAAGTAAGGGCTCCAAAAAGGTCACAAAAGGTAACATGTACCTTCATGTTCGGGGAAGTCATAGGAATAATGGACTATGCTTGACTGACACAGCAATTTTAGCTTTCTACAGTGCCAAGTATACCTGCCCTGCTGTGATCATACCTTTCTCTGCTTTGTATTTTCAGTGTAGTCACAACTATACAATCTAATTTTCACAAGCAGAGACATTCTCACCTCTTCGATAGCAGCATCCTGCAATAGAGAACGAATGTCCAGGCGCATCATGTGACGTGGTGCTGCCTCCCAGTGCTCAGACATCTTAAAAAAATAAAGAAAAAAAGAGAAAAAAAAAGAAGAAGAAAAAATTAAGCACCTCTAAAAATGTAACAGATTCAATGGAAAATTCGGTTTCTGATCATGAACAAGATGTACCTAAATAGTTTAAACCAAACACATGAAATAACTACCAGCTCTTCTTAAAGGAAAAGTATAAGCATTATGTGGTCGGAAAGAGGTCAGTAGCTTTCCTAAAACAGCAGAACTGGAAGCACAATGAAATCTATCATTAATCCTACGACACCAGATGTATAACAATTACCCTGCTGATTTCCTTTAGCTTGCGTCCATGAATATTCCTCTTGGAACATGTCTGGTTATCTGCACTCATTTCAGCTAAGTACACCTAGAAAGGAAGAGAAAATATTAAATATTGAAAAAATATTAAATATTGAAAATATTAAATATTGTAAATCAATTTTTAGAGGTATTTTTCTGCCTGGTGATAGACTCTACAGTTGTGCATTCTAAGAAAGGCAAATTTGTAACTGTAGACTGCACCATTTTTCCTGAATGTGGGAGGGACTTTGCATCCAAAAGTTTAAAAATACAAGCACCCAGGTGCTAATAGCACATTCAAATGCTTTTTAGGCTCCATTACCTCAAAACCCTTGGTTTTTGCAGCACTCCAAAACTGTTCAAAATGTCGCACCCTATCATTGATAGCATCAAGGATAATGAAGGGGAAGAAGCCATCATCCAAGGTCTTTTTGAAAGTTTTAAACATGCTGGTACGATAGGTCTCTTCCATATCAGCTTCATATTCATACTCCATCACCTATATCAAGGACAAAAGCATTTAAGAAAGAGGACACCTATTAAACTGCTCATGTTCAACCACTGAATGTCATGACCACAAAGTACACTGGGATGAGAATAACATCTTCCAGGTCAACTTTTAAGAATTCACCCGTTCTGCCCTTAGGTTATATTGACTTGTTTTGAAAAAGCCCACAGACCTCTGCACTCTTCCAAAACCAGACCCTGAAATTCTGATTGCCACTATATTGTTCCGGAATGCCTTGTTTCTTTGTCAAGATAAGCAACTGGATTAAAAGTACCTTCTTTTTCACTTTTTTCCCTGTATCTGGGTCTCTTTCTTCTTTTTCCACTTCAGTGATAAAATAGTCATCCAGGCTGAGCACTCTTGGTGCAGGTCCTCCACACTCTACTTCCTTATCCTGGGAAGAAAGCAAAAATGAAACACATACTCTTGCTGTAAAAATTCCATCGTGCTGCAGAGGATCTTCAAAACATTTCTGGCAAACAGCTGATGCAACAGCCACAACAGCACTTCCCTGCTCTATATTCAAAGCAGGAAGAGAGTAGTATCCCTCATGATTGCCCATAGTGGCCGGGATTCACATGCCATATCAAGACGTGGAACGTGAAAGAACAGCAGGCTGAAATTCCAAAGAAACAGAAAGAAAACAGCAGAGGAAGTGCACATAAAAATCATAGGAAGCAGTTGTTTACATACCCTGATGAGTTTTGCTACATGAGTCTTCCCACTGCCAGGCAATCCTCTCATTATGATTACAATCTGAAACAAAGACCATGTGAGAGAGGATACTGTACTAGACTTAACAGGATCTCTCCTGCAAAGGTTTTCCTCCGGAAAATTACATGTTCTGGGCTTACATTTTTGCATATTACCAAGCAAAGCCAATACCATGCCTGATTGCCTATTTTACAAACCAGGCCGTGAGAAATGGTAGTAGTTCCACAGAATAAGAGTATAAGATGTTAATCACCTCAGCAGCTTACGCTGCAGAAGATGCTACAGATACGGTTCAGGTAAAACTGACTGACTGAAATTTGCCCAAATCTTGTTCTTCCTTATTTTATATGGTACATTGCCAGATCTCGGACTTTGTGCAAAGCCAAGCCTTTCCTCTGATACATCAATCACCCAACTGAAGATCTCAGAGGAGTCTAAAATACATTAACATTACCCCATTAATGGGAATTTAATCTTAGCACAACCAGAAAGTTTACATCTCCTGAGAACTCCTAATAGCTAAGCCACAACATTCTAGGCATTGGAAAAGGAACCGAGAGAATTTCAGGAGCTTCCTCAAATGTAGGTTTGTTCACAACATATTCCTTATGACCATTTTATGGGAATATAGACTTTGTAGAAACAGACTGTTGCTTGCAGAATGCACACTCACCCTCTCTGGCCTGCTATCCCGTCCTGGTGGCTTCAAAATATCATCTACATTTTTAGATTCTGGCTTCCTTTCCACCCGTGGAGCAGGTGGTGGTTGACGGGGCATTGATGGAGCAGAAATAGGCATCCTTTCCTCTGGGTAATTTCTACGATCACCTTCAAATTCCAGTGTTTGGACAGAAGAATTTTCTTAGTTCAGTAAAATAAAAAAATTAAGATGTTCATACCCAGCTGAGCTGAATTAAACAGAGCTTCATTATTTCAGGATAAAAATCACAAATAAAAAATTATTTGTCCCCAAAATAATTCAAATTTCTAATCTCAAACCTATTACAAAGACATTTTTTAGCAGAGTATATAAACTGATGCTTTCCTGATCTCATCACCACTGAGAAACAAAGCTGCCTCAAAATTTTTCCTGAATTATGAATTCTGAACAAATAAATATTGCAAATCAATTAATCTTCACTTCTGTGACGGCATATTTTTCATCATATTCTACCATGGCTTCAAGGTTGAGAAACCATACCTCCAAACATAGAAGGCCCATGATCATACGCCGGACGGTCTGTCTTTCGTTCATACGGTGGTCTTTCAAAACCACCCCGCCTGGAGACGGGATGGTCTTTCTTGTCACGGTAAGACTGAGTCCTTGAAGGTGTAGTAGGAAGAACCCTGCCAAAAGAATATTATGCCTATTGCTAGAACTTCTTCTATGGATTCCAGAGAAAAAATAACACTTAACTCACTGGCAAGATGGACAACTTGATACTCAGTATGGCCTGAACTGCACTGATTTCAACAGTGTTCCAAACCCACGTACCTATCATCTCGGGGATGACGCTCTTTGTCAAATCTTTCTCGTTCATAGTCCACAGAACTTCGGTCTCTGTGTAATTCCCGCTCTCTCTTGAAATCCCTATGATCTGTGTTGGAATTACCTTGACGTTCAAAATAAGGCTCACGATCTCTGTTGTAACGACCGGGGTGGTCTGGAAGGAGAAACCCATGAAGATCCGAACTACTAAAACATACACTGATTTTTTAAATATTTTTGAAGGAAAAGCAACGAACAAGAATGTAGTAAAACTATACAGAAACATATGATATGAGGGTTAGAATGGACTTAATCACCAACGGAACCTCTTTTCTGAAGAGACAATCATACCATGCAAACATACTTAAAGCTACGAAACTGAAGTTTTATAGGTCACTGCCTGCATTACTCCTCTTGACAATACAAACTGTTATTCTTATGGCCTCTGAAGGAAATAAAGTGGTTCTAGCTTATACAAGAGTTACTTAGTTTAAAACATGCTTTCAGTGTCTTGCAACTTTTCTTATTAGGAGGTAACTAAATGTCTGAGAGCTAGCGAAGTGCTCCCTACCTTTTTGAAATGTTTGCCTCTCTGGTAGAGGTTCCGGACGCAGGGTTACCCTCTCTCCATATGGAATCTGTTCCACTTTACTGGTGGTTATATCTGGTTAAAAATAATTTTAAAAAAATTTAAAATTAAAAAATTAAGGACTTAAGATACCCCTCTTCCATTCCCTTTCCTCTGTCACAAAAAGTAATCAGTTAATGGCATTAAAAGTGACTGGAACAACCTAGCAAAATTTCTTTTAATAAGTAATGCAGAAAGAGCTATACATAAATATGCGATATTGTGGTTTTGAAAGTCTGAGGTGTGTGTGTGTGTTTGTGTGTAGAAGTATGTGTACTGCCTTTTCAGATAAGTTCATGCATGGTCAAAAGAGCATAAACATTAAAATGCTCTGAAAGTTTCAGTAACTCATAAAACTACTATAATGTCAAGAATATTAACTCACTTTGGATTCCTAACAGTGACAATTATTCTAACAGTTTTAGTAAAACATCTACTTAATGGAACCAAAATGGCTTCAATTCATGTTATGGCACCTTAGAGAAAGAAAAAACACTCTCTAAATGACAATGCACAATTTAAGAACTTCCTTGACATGATTTCATGCCTGCTGAAAACTAAGATTAGGGAAATTAATTCTAATTAAAAAAAACAGTGTTGAAATTTTAGTTTTGATGAGCTCAGTGCTAAAAATCAGAGTTCATGTGTTCATTCAGCAGTATATAAATATTATGCAAACATCCGTCACATTCTGCTTTAAGTTACTAAGTTACACCTAAGAACTGTAACAACTTAAAGTACCTTCTAGCACACTTATTTCTGTACTCGGCTACAAAGGGATTAAGGGAAAGTATCAATATCAATCTAAATATGACACATTGATGTGATCACATCGGTTGGTGCTTGGTAGAAGCAGAGGTGACTACACGCCCTTTGGTTCATGTGAAGCGGCTCATCGCCACAGTATTGAAGAAAACATAACACTCAAGGCTGGAGGTTGCATTACTTGGCCTTAGATCACAACATACACAGCCCAGCACGCTCCTTTAGAAAGAAGCGAGGACTAAGTAGCTCTCCACTATGGATCAGACAAATACACCGTTACACCCACCTCGCCCGTGGCCATAATCCACAGTTTGCTGAATTACAGGTGCTTTGGGAACTGGTGGAATAACTGGCGGAAGGGACATTGGTACAGCTGATGGGACAGAGGTGTGAACAGCCGGGACTTTTGCAGGCGAGGAGACCGGTGGAGGCATCGTTGACTCCTGTTTACACAACTCGTACTCCATATTTGCTCCTTTATCCTCATTTGTGTCCCAGAGACCGTGGAAAGAATCCTCATCCCAGCGTTCCTGTTCCACAGTAGAAGGTGATGGTTTTAAAGACTGACCATGACTTGGGGTTGTAGTTGGAGCAGAAACTGGAGCATGTGGCCTTGTCATAGGTGTAGCAGGCCTTGCCAGTGGGGCACTTGGTCTTGTCACAGGGGTGGGCTGTCTGAACAACACGGGAGGCTTTATAATAACAGCAGGAGAAGGTTTAATAGCTTGGGCTTCTACTGGTGCCTCTGAAGATAGCTGAGAAGAGACCTAGATGCAGAAAGCACTTTTAATGTAGATCTGCAAACTAACCTTCTCTCATCCTCTGCAAGTCAGCAAGCACAACGGCAATCAGTAATCAAACCATGAGCATTTTCTAGTACCTCCATCAAGGTGCTACAGGTAGGAGGACAATATTTCAAGAACTAGTAGTCTGAATTAATTTGGTGTTTGTTCACTACATGAAGACTTAAATACTTTTTATTTTCTCCTTTGAAATAACCTTACCAATTTAAGCTCCAGCAGGCCTATCTCAGTTCAAAAGTGTCTATGTTTTTATTGCCAAAGACTTCTGCTGTTTGCACAGATTCTTGCTGTCTGTGAGGAGGGAAAAAATGTCTGAAAATAGGGCAGCTTCGTGAGGCACAAAAGGATTGGTAAGGTCAGCTTCTTTCTGGAAGGCACTGGAAAAATTCCCAGAGAGTAGAAACACCTGGAAATCTCTTAATGAAATAAACATCAGATCAACGTAAGAAATGGGGTGGCCTTGCTGTCGTGGGTCAGGGCTGGGCTGGCCGCTAAAATGGACAGATGCTCTCTAACTCCCTCTTTTCCCCCCAAATGGGAAGGAAAAAGGGAATGAAGCAGAGAGACTTTCGGGTTAGAGAAGAAAAAAAAAAACAGAACAGCTTTAATGAAACAATAATAGAAATAACAGTGAAATGATAAAAGTAAAGAACTATATACAACTATAGATAGTAGCCTGATATCAAACCCGACTCCCTCCCCCGATATCAATCCCCACTGATGCTGCAGAGCAGGAGGCACTGGGGAAGCCCCAGGCTCAGCGGTGGCAGGAGCTGGACACAGGGAGCTGGATTCAGGAACTCAGGATCCGGATCAAAAGCAGGTGGTCAGATGGAGCCCTCCCTGGACACTGGCTGTTGCAGAAAAGGGCAAGGAAGAAAAGGGCGAAAAGGGCCGAAAGTCTCATGATCACTCAATTCATACTAAATGTGACGTATATGGGATGGAATACTCTTCTGGGTCACCTGTCCTTTCTATTACTCCCCAGAGGTGCAACTTTTTGCTTCCTTGTGACCCCTCTTACTACCCAGCATGGCACACAAGAGCCAGCAGTGGCCTTGGTCACTACAGGAATAAGTATCAGCAAGAGCCTTTCTGCATCTCAGTCCCAGGCAGTAACTGCAAACATCAGGTGTTATCACTGCCAGTAGCACACACTGTCTGCAGAAACATGCTGCTGACTTCAGAACGTGCAGCCTTTTAGAAGAGACTAAAATGAAAAGTAAAAATCACTAAACCGGACTGGGTTTTTAGCTAAACCCAGGACACTTGCCCATTGGAAAAAAACCCACAAAACAAACCAAAAAATCTTCTTCATGAACTAAACGTACCCACAGAACCCCATGTGCTGCGTCACAAGGGTCTTCAGCATCACAGCAGGTGCCAAGTTACAGGCAGCCTTACCAGCAACACGCATCAAAACTTGCAGAACGGTTGTAGATACAAGCGGAAATTTTTAGTAACAGTTCAAAGTCACAGCAGAAATGTGAAGGCAGGAATCCCAAGAAAGACAAAAGTTGTCTGAATACCTCTAGGCAGATGGGTGAGGTAGTCTGAGATCAAAATATCAGAGCTGAGTAAAGTCACTTCCTAAAGGCGTCAACAGAACCTGCAGTTCTTGGTAGCAAACCTTTTCCATTATTTTACTTTATAGACAGTGTAAACAAGGAAAAGGTCATCCAGGCAGAAAGTAACTTTGTAGCGCCTCATTCACTGCATAACACTTCTCTGGAGGGAGGGGAAAACAAAGCTTGGTCTGGCTAAATGTCAGACCTAGAGGTCATTATGGTTAAATTTACTGGTAATAGTAATTTTGTGGTTAAGATGTGATGAAGAATAAAGACTGTGCATCGACTCAGGCATCTCTTCCAGTATACATTTAACATAATTGTTTGTTCATTCTAGGAAGAACTTATAAACCTGAGTTAACGTGACTGCACAAGTTCAGTCCCAGTTTATGACCAGGTATGAATTACAAAAAACCCAAATGTAAGTAGCTGAGAAGAGTTCCCAGAAACAACCAGGAGATTAAGCAGCAGAGAGTATCTTGCACCACAACAAGAGATGAAGACAGGGAGGTACACAGACTTGAATTTCCATGCACTCTATCATATTCCAGAGGGTAATGAGAATTCCCAATAAAGACAGCAAACAGAAAGCCACCGCCTACTCTGCACTGAAATACTCAGTTTTTTATGGACCTATCCTCAAATTTCTCTAACTTCAAAGAGAAGAGAGCTCTTAAAGTAGGAAAATCAGAGGAAGATGTTAGAACTTAGGCAAGGAACAGGAAAGGCTTCTGATGAGCCTTATGCCCCTGTTTTGGAAGGGTTCACCTCTTCTTGCACATCATCCCACAGCAATCTAGGCTGTTGAACCTCATGTGCTACTGTCTGTCCCCACTGGGTGCTACTGTCCCCAACGGGTCATGCTCAGAAGACATGGTGGACTGAATGAGTGGAAAAGTCTCTGGAAAATCTGAAGGAACTAAGAAGTTTCTTTGCCTCACCAGAAGACTGATGAGGTTGTAAAGGGCTGCTGCAGAGGTATTCCACAAAGAAGTTTGACCATCAGAGCGAAGAACTAGTCTGACATACACGTTAACAGTAATTACTACCAGCTATTAAGTTAACATAAGATGAATTCACCTGAAAGGCACCAGGCCTTGCAGTTGTGTTCTGTGGTCTCGGCGAGTCCTGCGTGGAAATGTCAGGTTTAAATTCTTTCAACTTCTGTAGCTGTTCTTTTTGCTCTCTGCACATGAATCACAAGACAATGTTATCAGTCTGTAGCTTAAATGGAAAATTAAAGAAATCAATATCCATGGTGAAAACCACATACTGCACTAGCATCAGGGGCCAAATCCAAAGAAGAAAAGGGCACAGCAGGCTTTGCATCAACACTGTGATTCAGAAATCCCTGTTTCACACTCACCTAGCCATGGAGATATTTAGTGTGTTAGCTGCATAATTTTTTGATGACAAGTTTCCCCCGAGACATGGAGTTATGCTTTTGTGCTTGGCCAGAACCACTCCACTTTGACAGTAAAGAGCAAAGCTGCATTTTTAGCTTCTGCCAACAAGCAGCCCATTGGAAATGCATACGTAAGTGTTCTCAGTTACTTGCTCTGGTTCACATGCTAACAGGATTGAGGCCAACAAAGCACAGCAGAGATTTCAACATGTAAAAACCAAATGGTGATTTTGTTTCCTTGTATTATACATAAAATGCTATTTAATGTACAGTCAACATGCAGTCGACAGAGCAGAAACCAGGACCAGCAGTGAATGCTACGACCACTGGATTACAAAGTTCTGTTCATAGAATCATAGAATGTTTGGCGTTGAAAGGGATCCCCAGGCAGGTTTTGAATGTCTCCAGAGAAGGAGACTCCACAACTTCTCTGGGCAGCCTGTGCCAGTGCTCTGTCACCCTCACAGTAAAGAAGTTTCTTCTCATGTTGAGGTGGAACTTCCTATGTTCTAACTTAAACCCATTATTTCTTGTTCTACTGCTAGGCACCACTGAGAAGAGATTGTCTCCTTCTTCTTGACACCCACCCCTCAGATATTTATATTCATTAATAAGGTTCCCTCTCAGCTGTCTCCTTTCAAGGCTAAACAGCCCCATCTCTCTCAGTCTCTCTTCACAGCAGAGATGTTCAAGTCTCTTAATCATCCTCATAGCTCTCCGTTGGACTCTCTCCAGTGGGTCCCTGTTTCTCTTGAATTGGGGAGCCCAAAACTGGACACACTATTCCAGGTGTGGTGTCACCAGGGCAGAGCAGAGGGGAAGAACAACTTCCCTAGACCTGCTGCATCCCAGGATCCCGTTGGCCCACTTGGCCACAAGGGCACGTTGCTGTCCCATGGACAACTCACTGTCCACTGGAACTCCAAGGTCTTCTCCACGGGGCTGCTTTCCAGCAGGACGACTCCTAATCTGTACTGGTGCCTGGTGTTACTCCTCCCCAGATGCAGGACTCTACACTTATCCTTATTGAACTTCATGACATTAATTCAATACGATTCCCTTTCTTTTCAATTTTTGTTAGCATCTATTGATTTATTTATTAATAAACTAATAACTCTTTTTTTCATATTAATTGTGTGTATTAAAGTAGTTTCCAAAGAACAACAATGAATGGAATCCCTCCATACCAGGCACACAGACCATTCTAACTAGCAACGTGTCTGTTCAGTGTCCAGCGCAAGGGGAACTTGCCTCACAGAAAGGGATTCCAAGTGCTCCATTAGTACAAAGAGTAAACTGAGCAATTGCCACCGCTTACAGCTTCCTTACGCCTGGCTTAGGAAAAATACACCCGATGACAAATGCAGCTCAGAGTATGCTGTTTTATTCAGACTGAAAGCAAAGCCTAGATGACAGCTTTAACTTTGGAGATGAAAGCAGTTACGCACCACACCACTGGCATAACTCTTGACTCAAAAAAAACCCCCACGAAGCCATAAGCACCTTCCTGAAAGCTGTCCTTATTGTTCAGACTGGGGTTACCTGTACCAGCATAGCTCATTTTAAGATTGCCCTCATTCAATTAAAAATCAATACCAGCAGTACTTTTTAGTGGCTTAGAAAGAGGTATATATATCTAGTTTTTTACATAAAACATTTTCTTTTCTATCATTAAGTATTTTGGCCCTAATAAATTATTCACTTAGGTAGAGATTCCCACAGTATGGTCCTCAGCTTAAGTACCCTGGCTTGCAGCTAGTCACATTAAGCAGTGAAGCATATGTTTGGCAATGTGAGGCAATGGGAAATCCAGGAAGCTGAAAATTATCTGTTCCTCCAAACTTTTGGCAAATACTGGTTTATAACACAGATTTCACAGTTACTAACACGTGTTGAATTAATCTAACCACAGAGAAAGATTAAGTTATTCAGAATAAAAGTTCTCCCTTCCTTTTTAAGAATTATTTTTCTTGCATTTTGGCGTGCAACTAAGGCTTTCCATATTGCACAGATGCTCAGAATCTTAAGAATCTGAAAACAAACCATCTTTAAGAAAAGTGCAAAATATATCTGTACCTTTCAACATAGTTTAATGTAAACCAAATAACCAAATATTAATTTTAATTGTCCATTATTTTAGTGTATCTTGTTTATGAAAGTAATCCCCTCTCTTTACTAGGCTGCAATTCTTAGCTATCTCTCAGTAACTCATGAACAGGATGAACCACATGAAACTCCATCTCTAAGATGCTTCCTCTTCTCTCTACAATCTCCTCTGAAAGATCTTTCAGTGATAATATCAAAGGCACTCACCTTTCCATCTTTTTTTGAAAATACATTTAATGCAACTAAACTCGTGCGTTAAGCCACAAAATCAGCATCTTGATAGATGACGTGCTCCATTCATTGTAGTATTACTAAATTTACTGAGTGTATTATTTTTGATGTTTAAAAGGATATTCTATTGCTTATTTTAAAATAAATACCTATTAAAGCCTTAGGGAGTCTACTAGATGCTTTCTAAAATGTGGTGTTAGTAAACTCTTGAGTTCATATCCTCCTGATTGTTATCGCTGCTGTTACGTCGATCCTCAGAACTAAGATCAACCAAACTCGACAAAATTATTTGACAACAATGCTGGACTTCAAGTGAGGGAGCATTGTAAAAAGAAAAAGCCCACATATGCTTGAATTAAAAGGTAAACAGTAGTCAAAAATTAAATGTCTCACTGTGTGAATTAAGAATCATATTAATGCAGATCTTAACAGGTAAGTATTAAAAATCAATAGTCAACGAGCCCATCTGACACTAATAAAAAGATGGAAAAGCAATTATCAAGAAGCTTATTTGAGGATAACAAAAAGATTGGTCAGGTGATGTGGACACATCTCTTCCTGGAAAGTAACAAACAAGGAAGGAAAGGGAAAACTATCCACAGAAGTTGTGATGGAAGTACTCCAAAAAACTTGTTCCATGTGAGCTCTTACTATCATGCTGTGGCAAAAAGAAATGAAGCTATTACTGCATAGACGAAGGAATCAATTAGCAAAGGAGCATCAGCTCCACAGAATGGGATTCTCACCCAAAGTGACAGAACCAGACAACTCACCGAAGCATTTTTAGCTCCTGGGCAGCCTTCAGAATTATTTCATGTTGTCTTTGGCTAAGGACCATCACTCCTCCCAAGGACTGGTCAGGGTCCAAGTTTGAATCCGCTCCCAACATATCAGAGGAATGTGAAGGCAGAGGAAGGGATGAATCTGAATGATCATCCAAAGACCGCAGTCTGTCTCCATCATCTGGGTACCACCTGTCCGACAACCGTTCTCTCTCCCAATCGGTCCTTTCAGGAAGGTAGTCCTGCTTCTCCCGCCATGTGTCATATCTCTCTGGATACTCTCGAACCCTCAGCTCTCCCCTGTCTCGGAGGTCTCTGTCATAATGATCTCTGTTCCTGTCCTCCCTCCACCTATCTTCACAGTATCTGTCCAGAGGTGGAAGAGGTGGTAATGGTGGTAGAGGGGGGATATCCAGGTCACGATTCCCCATTTCTCTGTCATCCATGGGTCTCATGTCCCAGTCTCTATTCCATTCTCTGTCTAATTCTTGATCATAAATATCTGAGGACCTTCCAGTTCTATCTAGATCTCTCTCCAATTCCCTCTCTCTTGGCCTTTTCCAGTCATCCCACCATGAATCTCGTCTGTCATGATCAGACGATAAAGGAGGTAGCGGTGGTAGGGGAGATAATGGAGGCAATGAATGGTGGGATTGCAACCTGTCATCTCTGTCATACACATCTACAGAATCATCCTGATAATCAGAGTTGTGATCTCTCCAGTATCGTTCTCTTTCCCAGTCATCCAATCGCTCATGCTCCAAAGAAGGGTCATCCTGAGTATCTAAAGGGAATTCCTCCTGCATCCTATCCTCTTCATGACTCCAAGAACCTCTGAGTGTCTCATCTCGATGGTAGGGAGGCAGTTTGTCAGGATCATCTCCTAAGTGCATGGGTTTATCTATGTTGCCTGTTTCGGATCTTCCTGCTTCCCTCTCCCGGCTACCTGGCCTCCTGATGGGGCCCCTCTCGCGGCTCCCTGCATGCCTGACCAGGCCCCTCTCGTGGCTATCTGCCCGTCTGACAGGGACCCTCTCGCGGCTTCCTGCCCGCCTGACTGGGACCCTCTCGCGGCTCCCTGCCCGCCGCATGGGTTCCCTCTCGCGGCTCCCTGCCCGCCGCATGGGCTCCCTCTCCCGGCTCCCTGCCCGTCTGACCAGGCCCCTCTCCCGGCTCCCTGCCCGGCCTCTGTCCCGGCTGCCTGTCCGCCCAGCCAGCTCTCTGTCTCGGCTAGAGCTCTCGGCTGCCAGACCGTCCATCCGGCATCCTCTCCCTGCTGCCTGACCGCCTGTCCGGCATCCTCTCCCTGCTGCCTGCTCTCCTGAACATCCCCCTGCCACGGATGGATGCCTGCCGAGCCTGCCCTCTGCCTCTGTATACGTAGCCTCGGCCCCGGCCTTCGTCCATTCATCCTCGGCCACGGCCTTCATCCATCCTGCCCATTCCCCAACCCCCGTCCATTCTTCCCATTCCCCGGCCACCGTCCATCCGTCCCATCCCTCGGCCACCGTCCATCCGTCCCATCCCTCGGCCACGGCCCATTCCCCAGCCACGGCCATCCCCCTGCCCTCTGCCACGGCCATCATCCAGTCTGCCCTGGCCCCTTCCTCTGTTTACTGGTCCCTTTCCTCTGTCTTCATGCATAAAGGGCCCTTTCCCTCTGCTTTCAGGCCCAGGTAGGCCCTGGGTGCTATCTGAAATGATCAACTGGCCATCTGGCGAATCCAAATCCTGACTGCCTGTTACAGGGGTTACTGCACCGCCTGTTCTTGTGACACCTGACTGCAAAGCTGCAGGGTTACTAGAAAGGGATGTTGATTTCTGGTTCTGAACAGGTGGAGTAGGCGCTTTGGGCTCTTCTACTTGCTGGTTAGGATCATGTGAACTCCATGTCCACTTTTTAGGAGGGTCTGAAATAGTTTCTTTGACTTCAGGTTTGGATGGCTCCTGCTGAGTGTTTGTCAGGTCCTCATTTGGTTCAATGGGACCTGCACTCGGTGCATCAGGAGCAGACTGGGTTCTGCCTACAGTCTGCTGATCGCCAGCTACATCTGTGAAAGGTTCTTTGTTTTCCGACTGCGAGTCTGTCTGTGACTGGTGCTGCTGCTGCTGTCCTAAATGAGGCCTGGGCCCCCTCCACCGTGGACCACTAGGTCGGGAACCGTGTCCATGTGATGCATTTGAAGTATAAAACTGTCCTGCTGGTCCTCGTGGGACAGTCCCCCATCTACTTGAAGACTGCCCATCCGTATTCTGTCGGTCAAAACGTGATCTGTATCCTTCTGAGCGCTGGGAGTCGAAACGAGGGCCTCGCTGTCTCGAGCCTTCAAATTTGTCATATCCTCTTCCTCGAGGTCCATCGAATCTATGGAAGACATAATGGAAGTTTTATTCAAGTGAACATATCAAATTAAAATCCTCTAAAGGAGAGTTTAATTCCCCCTAAAAGTCACTTTTAACCGATGAGTGTTACTATGCCTTAGGATCAACTACTACTGAACCACTGCAGCAGCAGAGAGACCTATTTTTCAATTCAATATTGTCTACTAAAGACTAGTTTAAGCCATTTGCAAATTATGTAACCCTAAAAGGAAATCTGGCATAAATATCTCAGGACTGAAACCTGACTGACAAAGAGAGGTCATTTGATAAAAAGCTTTCAACTTTTAACAGAGATTTTATTGCCATCAACAACTCTCTTTGAACTTCTTTTCTGATAACACGAAACAAACCTACTTAATTATAGTGATAAATGCCATCTAGAAAGATCTTTTAATACAGATCCTTTCAGAAAGTGCAAACAACTATGATACTATCCAGTTCCATGCAACATAATATGCCTAAACCAAACATATTTATATTGCACTTTCTAAATTCCTTTTGAGAACATGTACAACTGCTATTGCTTGAATATGAGGAAATAGGTCAGGCAAACTAACAAAGAATAACTCATGTAATGATATTTAACAAGGCTGATCTAGTAAAAAAATCCAATCTTTAAGCATGTGCTCAAATACTGGCTTACATAATAAATGAGAATAAATCAAATTAATTTTATGCAAAATGAACTTATGCCTGAAGTCAGGTTGCCTGAATATTTGAGATTCACAGTTGTGTCTCACTGAATGGTGTCAGGAAGGCCAAAGCACGCCTGGAGCTAAATTTGGCAAGGGACAGAAAGAAGGGCTTCTACAGGTATGACAGCCAGAAAAAGAGGGTAAAATAAAGAGTTTAGCCCTGATGAACACAACTAGCAAACTGGTAACAATGGATGAGGAGAAGCTGGCCTCAGCCTTCACCAGCACCAGCACTTCTCCCACACCTCTTGAGAGGATGGACCACAAGAGAGGGATTAGGGGTCTAAAATCCCTCCCGCTCTAAGAAATCAGCTTCGAGATGACATGAGGAACTTGAACATACACAAGTCTATATGACCTGACAAGACACATTCCAGACTCTTGGGGGAATTGACTGATGCAGTTGCCAAGCCACTCTCCACGGTATTTGAAAAGTCATGGCAGTCAGGCGAAGTCCCCAGCGACTGGGAAAAGGGAAACAGTGCACCCATTTTCAAAAAGAGTAGAAAGGAAGATCCTGGGAACTACTGACTTGTCAGCCTTCCCTCTGTGCCTGGAAAGATCATGGAAAAAATCCTCCTAGAGGCTCTGCTAGGGTACATGGAGGACAGGGAGGTGATTCAAGACAGCCAGCATGGCTTCGCCAAGGACAAGTCTTGCCTGACCGGACTAGTGGCTTTCTATGATGGAGTGACTACATCAGTTGGCACGGGAACTACAGATGTCATCTACCCAGACTTCTGCAAGGCCTTTGACACGGTCCCCCAAAACATCCTTCTCTCTAAGTTGGAAAGGCAGGGATTTGATGGGTAGGACTGTTCAGTAGATGAGGAATTGGGTGGATGCTCACACTCAGAGGGTAGTGGTCAGTGGCTCAACACCCAGATGGAGATCAGTGAGAAGTGGCATCCCTCAGAGGTCCATACTGAGACCAGTGGGATCAAGTGCACGCTCAGCAGGTTTGCAGATGACACCAAGCTGGGTGGTGTGGCTGACACGTCAAAGGGATGGGATGCCATCCAGAGGGACCTGGACAAGCTTGAGAAGTAAACCCACGTAAATCTCATGAGGTTCAGTGACGTCAAATGCAAGATCCTCCAACCTGGGTCCAGACAACCCTCAGTATCAACACAGGCCAGGGGTTGATGTGATAAAGAGCAACTCTGTGGAGAAGGACTTGGGGACACTGGCAGATGAAAAGCCGGATATGAGCCAATAATGTGTGCTCATAGCCCAAAAAAAACCCCTGTATTCTGGGCTGCAGCAAGAGAAGGGGCGCCAGGGGGTCAAGGGAAGTGATTCTCCCTCTCTACTCCATTCTGGTGAGACCCCACCTGGAGTACCGTGTCCAGCTCTGGTGTCCTCAGTACATGAGGGAGATGGACCTGTCGGAGCGGGTCCAGAGGAGGGCCACAAAAATGATCAGAGGGAAGGAACACCTCTCTTATGAGGACAGGCTGAGTGAGTTGGGGTTGTTCACCCTGAAGAGCAGCCTTTCAATACTTATAGGGGGCTTCCAAGAAAGATGGGCACAAACTTTTTAGTAAGACCTGTTGCAATACTACAAGTACAGATTTAAACTAAAAGAGGGTAGATTTAGACTAGTTCATGGCTGAAAAGAGGTGAAGGGTGTGTGCATCTTTTTGTATGTCTAGTCTCTCTTTTTTACTAACCATATTGAGAAGAAACAGTAAAAAAATTTTTGGGAAAGCTTTGATAAAACCCTAGAACAGTCATGCAATCACAATATAGAAATGTACAAAGATTATAGTGTTAATTTAACACTGTAAATATGCTCCAAGCCAGAGCTCTTGTATGTGCATTCTAGAAATTTTTGATTATCGATAGCCTGCCATTACACATCACTGAGTTCTAAACCAATACACATAAAAGACATTTGCTAACAAATCATGAGAATAGCCTGTTCAGAACTGTACATCCAACAAATCCCCAGGACCAGAAACGACATTTCTTAGAGGCATAAGGCGGTACAAAATTATTCAAAGTTATAAAAAATTCATTTTCATTGCTAGCAATTAATGAATTATTATTCATGCATAATCACTTCAGAAGTAAAGAGAAGAGAAATAAACATGAAGATATGATTGCGAAGCCTAGCAGAGTATGCAAGGATAGAAATCACTGAACATAACAGCATTGTTCTTTGATGCAGTATGAATCCAATCAACTCACCCCGAACTAATGATCAGACAGAACAGATTATGTTTCTGCAACATGATATCATGTCAAGTATGAAAGAAAAACATTCTAGAAACAAGATCTTGGATTAAACTATATAGCAGGCATAAAACCACATAAAAGACACAGACCACTAGCTTTCAGAGTAGTCTTACATTAAAGCAGCATGCCATCTACCTCACAAAATGAAGATTTAAAGTTGAACAAAACTTTATCTTACTAAAAGATAAAGAGAGCAACCTTCAAAACCAAGACTGTCATGATGCAATGCAAAAGTGGCAAAGAATCCTCATACTAGGATTCTAAAGCTCAAATCTTAGTTTCTTTCCTTCTCTCTTGTCATTGTTTGAATGCTATGTAATGCTACATAAGTACAAATCAATGGTTTTCTTCACAAGACAAGCACTTATCAAACAGCTGTTTAGAAAAGCGTACTGTATAGGACAATCATACAGCTGCAGAACGCTAAAACTATAAGTAACGGTGAATAGCTTTGAATTTTCATTTCTTTCTGCAATAAATGTTGGATTACAAACAAAGAGTATTTTTTATTGCTTCTAAAAAACCCAGCACCTAAATTGCTAGTAATTAGCTATGTTAGTATATTCAAGTGAACACTTTCCCGAATCCCTTTCAGAAGGCCTACATTAAAGTGCTACCATATATATGGCAACACCTCAAAACCAATCCTTCAACACTTCTGCTTTAGATTTTCCTGAACTGTGTTGCAAGTACCACAGACAAAATGCCAAGAATTTATATCACTTTTCATATAGGATCACTCTTCCAAGTGTGAACTGTCATCTTCAAACTAACGACGGCTAAGACATAACAAATGTTTACAACAGCTTTCCTATTTTCACAAAAGGGATATTGAAACTCTGGCCATGAAAACAATGCTCTCCGTCCATGTATTTTACTAGAGGGAGGGGAAGAAAAAAAGCATTCCACTCTAAATAATGCTCAGGTGAAAGGCATCTATCTGTCTTTGCCTTAATAAGATAAATGCAGACCATAGTATACATACACTAAACACAAAACCTCTACAAAACAAGCACATGTGAAACGACCTCAGAAAGATTTGAGAATTCGAGAATTGCTTAATATATCACTGAAAGTCTTGTAGCAACAAACCCATCCTTACCTCGGTCCTCTGGGGCCTTCGAAGCGTGCTGATCTGGGCGGATCTGGAAGCAATCCACCCGACCTCACTGGTTTATCCTGCATGGAAGGTGTGTGTGAGGAGGACCCCAGAGAAGTGGCATTCAGTTCCCCACATCCTTGCTCAGATGACATAGAGACAGTTTGTTTACTAAGATGAGGTTGAGACTTTCCGTGGTCTGAAGAGCCAAAGGACGAACTTACTTGAGAATGATAAGGTGAATAGACAGTTGAACTAGCCATTTTTGATGCATAGGTACCAGGGGTGGGAAGCAGAGCTGGCCTTGGTGTCTCAGTAGACTGACTGCTTTGAGAACTGGATCCTGAAGGGACAGAGGAATTAGACAACTGAGAAACAGAAGAGAGAGGTGGGGGGACCAGTGGAGGTGTAGTTGAAGGCAAGGTTGGAGGCAAGTCCTTGAGGGGTTTGAGAATACGGAACAAACGGAGGTGGCAGCGAAACATTTGCAGGATACTGATTCTTCAGATTTTGGAGTGAGCTCACTTTCTCCTGCAGATGGGACTGAGTGACCTTCATCTGTTCATCCCACGCTTTCCACTGTTTCTCATACTCCTGAAGCTGGTCTTTGTGAGGGTAGGTTTGAAGCTGGTGCTGCCACTGTTGGTTCATTGATCGCTCCCAATCTTTATGTAGCTGCTGGAACTGTTTTTGCTGTGCCTCATAATGTCGCAGCTGCATCTCCACTGACATTGTCTGCAACAAGATGACAAGAATAGCTTCAAAATACCATCTCAGTTATTTACAGAGCCACATATTTTAGTATTACTTGTAATATCACAATTTCTGACTCAAACAGAAGGTTGAGGAACAACTACACTGGAAAAAAAGCAAATGCCAACTGTGATGTCTAAAGTCACTGTGACAATTCACACTTTTTGTGACTAGAGGACATCTATGTATAAAAGGCTTTTTTGGTTTTTCTGTTTTTTGAACAGGACACCTGAAGAAAGCTATAACCAAAGGTCTCCAAGCTGTATTATTAGTGGATACTAACAATGGCTAAAGCCCAAATTGATCTTCATACTTTCAGTATATACAGTACATGGCTGCTTCTCAAGGTTTCAGTTTCTGCTATTATCCTGTTCAGAGTTGCTTCATCTGCCAGTAATTATTTTTCCAGAAGTCTTCGCCAGATCATCTTATTTGTACAATGAAGTTTCTTTCAAGGAGGTACTGCCTTTCATTATGTGTGCATAAAGGTCTTAATATCCATGGCTTGATCTTCTCTGAGATTTTTAGGGTTCACACTTAGAAGAGGGTTTTTTTTTAACAAGCATATAGCTATGCTAGAAAGAAATGCTTAATGTACAAACTGCATCAACCCAGAAAAAGCTGATTAAACTCTCTAATACAGTAATCAACTTCTACTTAAAAGCTTAGGGTTGCAACACTGATATCTGTTATTAAGACTTTTTATTTTATTTCACTGATTGAGTCCAAAATAATGTGAGTGATTTTCTTAATTACTTTAACTGTGTATGTTTGGCATCTGTGTAATTCTTCATTGTACATTTTTGTGCTACACAATGCTGAAAAAAAAAAAAAGCAACTACCAAATCACTCCACACAATCATCTTTTTACCTGACCTTTCTTCTGAACTGTTTCTCCAGCAATAAAATATTCAAAGCTGAGTAAATTCAATACTGTTCAGCTTTGCTCCTGTATCACTCAGGAATGTCTGAAAAACCTTACAAGTGCAAAGTCTTGTATTTCTCATCCTATGAAGCTTCATCACTATCTGTCAATTTTTTTTCATTCTGAAGTTGAGTGACAGTAGAAGGGAGCAGACTTCTGCCCAAGTAGAAAAAGTAGCTACACAAATGAGCCAATTATAACAAATTATTCAAGTATTTGTCTCTCAGAAGTAACCCAGGAAGTGTATCAAACAGCATCTCTTTAACATTTCACCTGTATGTGTGGAGGCTGTTGCATGATCTGTTGGTACTGCTGTACTATCTGCTGCAGCTGGGCATGCTTCTGCATTATCCTCTGATACTGAAACCCAACTCGCTGATGGGGATGCTGCTGCCATTGAGCTGCTGCTGCTTGCAACTGCTGCAATCTCAAATCTTCCTCAGGGTCATCAGGAGGTTCAATATTGAGCTAGAGAAAAAGGCAAATACTATAAATAAAGGAAAGCTCCTTCTGTCAGAAGAAAAACACACTTGGTCACTACCCTCTTTACAGGAATTTTGTTGTTTTATCACTGTATTTCAGTGCTCTGGCCACCCACAGCTCCTGGTAGGCTGATTTTTATTTCATTTTTCATAATGTGAACAGCCTGATCTAAAGGTTAGGCTGATAGCAGCTGGGGTATTCGTATGTTCAGAAACTACCTACCGGAAGATTAATGCAGATGCGGAGATTAATGCAGATGTTGTTGCTCAGAGCAAATACAATGAGACAACAATGCTTTCTCATGATGAGGTAAAATAACTCTGAGTGCACTATTTTTGTCACTTGGTGGGAACTCACACACTAAACTAAGTGAAGCACATGCTGCAGGGTCATCCACTACCCTACAGTAATCTGTTTAAACCTCAACCGGGACCTCCATCCATTATGCAGTCACTGTTACTAAGCATGCTGACAAAGATACTCTGGGCAGAGTTCTTGGCTTTCAAACCAGCTATAACACACAGAAAGAAGGGGAGCCAGAATTCACAAACTGCCAGAGAGGAATTAAGAAATAATGTTTTAAAGACAGCATTCCTCATCTACCGAGTACTTTGTTTGCCCTTAGGCATCACAAAGTGTTTCTCACAAAGACGACAATGTTGGGGAAGTGAGTGAGTCAAGCTTGGTCTCGCTTGTTGCGTATGTGGGTAACTATGTAAGTCTATACACAAGGAGTGTATTTTGATTTTTTTTAAATTAATGCAGCCTGAGCAAAGACTCTTTCAAGACTGCTTTGCCGTATTGTTACACTGAATCTGACAGCATTAATTTCCTGTTCCTTTGTCCCATCTGGCACAGCACATGGAGAGACATCACTTTACAAAGCCTACCTGAGTTTCAGTGGATGTAAGAGAAGAATCTTCTTCTTTGGAAGCTGGAGGAAGGGATTCATTAAGTGGAGGAGGTTCAGACTGCTGAGCTGAAGCACTCATTTTCCCTTCTTCAGATTTTGTTCTTTGCTCAGATGCATCCTTCACTACTGGACCTTTCATTTGCTGCTGTCCCTGAGCATGGGCTTTTGCCCTTTGCTGCAGGCTAAGCAGGTGCTGCTGGTACCAGTATTGCTGCTGTTCCTATAACAGACAAAAATTTTGTAAGACAGCTTTCATGGGAAAAAGCCATGAAAATTAATTCATGACAGTCACTAGAATCATATTCTAGAATGAAGTTTTTTTATCTCTTTTGAGAGAAAATTAATTTTAACATCAATATTGCAACAGACATCAGAAGATTGAATCAAAATTCAGAAACCACTAAGTGAGGCACAATACCCACAGTAGAATTTATTTCCTACCTCACAGAGCTTATAAATAGAGAACAACAACAAAAAGTGGAAAAATGGCCGAATTACTACAGACGTGATAACTACTACATATTTTAGGACTTTTTATTCCTAACAACTATAGCTACATAT